AGTACCACACAAGAGGCTAGTGCAAAGGCCGGAGATGCAGGCAAGAGTGAAAGGGAAGGTACTCCATTCGATAAGGGAGTATCTAAGCAACAGAAGACAGCGACTCACTGTGAGGGGTGTGATCTCAGATTGGTGAGGCGTAACCAGTGGAATCTCGTAGGGATCAGTTCTTGGACCTATACTGTTTCTGATTGATGTAAATAATCTCCCAGAGGGGTATAGAATCGTTCCTCTCATTGCTTGCTAATGATGCAAAAATGATGAGGAGGATTAAGACAGAGGAAGATAGTTTGAGGCTACAAGATGACCTAGACAAACTGAATGAATGGTCCAACCAATGACTACTAAAGTTCAACCCGAGTAAATGTAAGGTAATGAAACTAGGCAGTGAAAACATGAGGCCAGACACAGGATACAGAATAGGAGATAAAATACTTCATGAAACGGACAGAGAGAAAGATCTAGAATTTATATCACACCAAACCTGTCTCCTGAAGCCCATATAAAAATAATAACATCTGCGGCGTATGCAAGGCTAACTAGTATCAGAACTGCTTTCAAGAACCTGTGTAAGGAATCATTCAGAACCTTGTATACCACATATGTAAGACCAATCCTGGAGTATGCTTTCAGCATGGAGCCCGTACCTTGTCAAGCATAGGTACCTTGACGAAGCTGGAAAACGCTCAGAGGTATGCCACTAGGCTAGTCCCAGAACTAACAGGCATGAGTTACGAGGAAAGGCTGCGTCAAATGCACTTCACACTGGAAGACAGGAGTAAGGGTAGGCATGATCACAACCTATAAAATTCTCAGATGAATTTACAGGATAGATAAGGATAAAATGTTTAACACAGGTGGTACGCAAAGAAGTGGACACAGGTGATAACTGAGTACCCAAATGAGCCACAGGAACGTTAGAAAGAACTTTTTTTCAGTGTCAGAGTAGTTAACAGATGGATTGCTTTAGTCAGTGATGTGGTGGAGGCAGACTCCATACACAGTTTCAAATGTAGATATGATAGAGCCCAGTAGGCTCAGGAATCTGTACACCAGTTGATTGACAGCTGAAATGCAGGACCAAAGAGCCAGAGCTCATCCCCCGCAAGCACAACTAGGTGAGTACAACTAGGTGAGTACAGTATTCTAAGATGGAATACAATTACCGGAACTCTCGTAAAGGTCCAGGATGCTGACCTAGATTACCATCGCGGAAACTATCAGAGAATGAGAGAGGAATTGCAAAACACCTCATGGAGGGAGGTGATAGGCGACCATGGCAGGGAAACATCATGGCGAAAAAGTAAAAAAGGTCATTAATGAACTCGTTCTAAGATATGTGCCAAGAAGGAGAAAGAAATGAAAGGGAACAAGATGGATGACACAAGTAGTAAAAAGAGCGTAAATAACTAAATGGAACCTCTGGAGGTTTATATAAATCCACGCTGAACATCATGGATTATGAGATAAATAAAAGGGTATTAAATTCAGCTACCTACAAAATCAAATTAGCCAAAATAAACTACGACAAAAAAACGTGCCCAAAACATAAAAGGAGATCCAAAATCATTATATGCATATATATGAAGTAAACCCAAAACAAAGGACTCTGTAGGACCCCTAAAAGATCAGACTAACCAAGTTATATTGGATGATAAAAGGGCAGCGAACACTCTGAATGAATACTTTACATCAGTGTTTACACACTTGAAAGATTGAACAACATCCCATCACCCACACAAATGTCTGAAGAAGATGAAGAGAATGAATTAAGGGCTATCCACATTCGACACCATCAGGAAGAGCACTGACAAACTAAAATACTCAAAAGTCCCAGGTGTTGATGAATTTCAATCCAAAACCGTAAAGGAACTGGCTAATGCATTATGAATGCCACGAAACTCCTTTTCAGAAAATCCCTGGATCAAGGGATAGTGCCCCTGGATTGGAAATATGCAAATGAAAAAAAAAAACGGAAGAAAACTACCGTCCGATCAGCTTAACAACTCACATCTGCAAGCTCACGGAGAGAATCCTGAGGGTGGGAATCATGCAACATCTCACAGAGAACAATATTGTAAAAGAAAACGAACATGGGTTTGTTAAAAATAGATCCAACTTTACTAACTTGCTCACAGTTCTGGAAACGGTATCCTGCTATTCAGACAATGGACTTCCAGTACAAATATCTTACATGGACTTTGCTAAAACTTTTAATAAGGTACCACATTAGATATTGGGAAGGAAATTACAGGCATATGGAATAAATAGAATACTGGAATGGATAAAACAATGGTTAAAACATACAAAACAAAGGGTCGTGATAAATGAGAATGAATCGGACTGGGAAATGTGCTAGGTGGGGTGCCACAGGGGTCCATTTTGGGGTCAACCCTTTTTGTCATATATCAATGACATAGATGAGAATATTACATGCCACATCATCAAATTTGTAAATGACACTAAGAGCTATGGTAAAGTGGGAAGTGAAGGTGATATTGAGGCCATACAAAAAGTTCTACATGAACTCCACAAATGGTCAGATGACTGGCAAAGGCTTTTTAATGTCGATAGATGCAAGACCTTATATGTGGGGCACAACAATCCACGTCACAACTATCAAATTGACAGCACTTCTTTACAACAGATAGATAAAGAAAAGGACCTTGGAGTCAGAATCCATCAATCACTAAAAGTTGTTCAGAAGTGGGAGCAGCAGTAAAAAAAAAAAAGCTAACCAAACCCAGAGAATAATCAAGCGGACCTTTACCTTCAAGGAAAAGAAAGTAGTCGTTCAATTGTATAAGTCTCTGGTGCGCCCCCGCCTGGATTATTGCATCCAGGCATGGAGACCTCGTCTTTAGAAAGACATAGCTGCTCGGAGAAGGTGCAACACCGGGCAACAAAAATCATCCCAGACCTTAGTAATCTCACGTATCAGGAACGGTTGAGGGCCACTATGCTAAAAACACTCCAAACCAGGCATGACAGGGCGGATCTCACCGAAACCTCTAAAATACTGAACAATTTGGAGGATGTTGATCTGGACATTTTTTTTGATAAAGTCAGATGTAACATGAACGAGGAGCAACAGGTTCAAGCTCAACAAACCACAATGTAGGACAGAAAACAGTAGATGATTTTACAACCATAGGGGGGTGTAAACCCGTGGAACTACCTACCCGCTGAAGCCGTAAACACCAAAACTCTGCTGGGTTTTAAAATACAACTGGAAGATATCATCAAGGCTAATAGGGGGAGGGGGACCGTTGACAAGTCGCCGGCTTTCTGTCCTCATCGAGGCCACTAGTATCGGTGGCCCTCACGTAAATTCTGGTAACTATAATCCCACATATATGAATGTGTTTGAGTATATGTATATATATAGAGAGAAGCTGCCTCGAATAGGCCAATAGGTCGTCTGCAAAATTCTATAGTCCTAAGATCTTATGTCATCTTATAAGTGCAGTCTTTTTATCAGCACTGTTATCAGAGTTGATATTACTGTTATCAGAGTTGATATTACTGTTATCAGAGTTGTTATCAGAGTTACCTTACCAGTTCTGTCATGATGATCAAACCACACATCACAGTATTGTGTGGCTATCACTGTTGTCATGTGTGGGTTATCAGTGCTGTCATGTGTGGTTATCACTGATGTCATGTGGTTATCATTGTTATCACGTGTGGTTATCATTATCATATGTTATCATGTGTGGTTAACATTGATGTCATGCGTGGCTATCATTGTTATCATGTGTGGTTATCATTGCTGTCATGTGTGGTTATCACTGTTATCATGTGTCCTTGTTGTTATCATGACACCATTGATAGCAATTCTATTACCATTGGTGTCATGTTATCAGTACTGTTATTCATAAAAAAAACATCAGTATTGTCAACAAAGTTGTGTTACATGTATCAACAGTTAACACACCTCTCACACCCGTTAAGAGGCACACTCGTACCTGTACACACGCAGAAAGTAAGTAAATATTATTTATCATGCATAGAAGGGAGGGGGGGGGATCAAGAGACCTAATTATAAATTTATAACTTCTTGTTGTTTTAGATTCAGCTACTGGGAACAAAATAGTTCCAAATAGCACGGGCTATGGTGAGCCTATAGGGGATTTACCTGGCACAGGAGCGGGGCTAGATGGAGCCTTATTTATAACTGTTTTAACTTCCTGTGGAGGAGGAAGGAGCCCAATGGATTAGACAAGATGGCGAGCGTCACTGGCGCCGAGAAGGAAAACTCCGCCAGAAATCAGAGATAGGAGAGGACACTGGAATTCCCGGATGAAAAAGAGATGATGATTGGGAAGAAGGTTACCAGGAGTGACCAACGGAGAAGCGACCTGAGGTGACGAGACGTGACGGGAGCACCTGAGGGAGAAGGCGTCGTCAGTGCTCGTGTACCGTCAGGTGAAGCAGACGCACCAAGGTTATCTCGATAGAAATCTGATTGTTGTTGTTTTAGATTCAGCTACTTGGAACAAAAAGTTCCAAGTAGCACGGGCGATTGTGCCCGTAGCGAACTTAGAAATCTGAGATTTCGCAAGGTTATGAGGGCTGAGCAGTAGCCAACTCGGGAATAACCTTAAGAGTGACCGTCCAGAGCTTCCCGGGGAGGAGTGTCTGAGGTCGAAGATGTGCAAGTTGCAATAAAAAATAGTACACAAAATGTACTGGCTACTATAGTCACTATCCAGAAAAGGGACGGAGGAGGGTGGATTTTTTTTCTTTGCAGGGATATTCCTGGGCGGGCCCTAAGCCTCTGGATGGCCCACTAAGTGTTACTTGTTTATGTGTTACTTAGGCGTAGTAGGAGTATTTATGACACTTATGTTCGCTGGGGATGGGGTTAAACGTGGCAATGATATATCAGTTAACTGACTGGCTGGCTGGAAATAAAACCGTCGAAGTTTCGACACACACACACACACACACACACACTGATATTTTGGATTCTATTATTCAAAAAACTATTATTCTAACTATTCAAAACACATTAACTGGGTCTGCTGGCTGCACAAAATAATTAAAATTGCAAACCAAAATATTCAAATTAAATTATACTCTTAAAGGAACAGAATCGTATGCATTAAGGTAAATTTGCGAACTCTGTTTAACTACCCTAATGCCAAATTCAACATGGAAATTAAATAAAAAGTCAATTATGAATAAATGTTCTTATAGAGTATAGTCTATAGCTAGGCAAATATGCTTATTTGCCTAGGTATAGACTGCTAGGCAAATATGCATAATATGTTGCCTGTTGCAACAAATTTGTTGCCTATGTAACAAATTTCTGTTCAATAACACGTTAATAAGAACTCAAAATATAACGTATTTTAACATTTGTCAAATGTTATTTTGTTATAAAATATCTTATAAAATATAACATCGTTATATTTATAACGATGTCTCACTACAGAATGTAAACCTTAAATGAGGTAGTAGTCAACTAAGCGTAGTTATCTAAGGCGTGTGCTTGGGACTACCCAGAGAATAGGTTCCAGTCCTCATGGCACCTACTGATTTTCTCATTATACATCACGTTAATGTGGCTTCTTTGTGCATGTACAACATAAACTGTTCACCATTGCAAGCCATGGAAAGGTATGCAAATTATTCCTTAAGCTTGACTTATGCATGCACTAAATGTTGTTATAAATTAAGTGAGAACGAGACTACAAGTTCGTCACTAACAGTATGTAACAAAAAAGAAAACAGACATGAGGCAGTACACTACATGCTTGTGTTCCTTACTTGCATAATAGGAATGATAATGGAATAGATCACACGAGGCTAGTAGAACATTAAGAGGGTATGGTTTTTAAAAAGACAGCACCATGACTTTAATCAATGGCAAATCATAACTCATAAACTTGATAAAGTTCAATGAACGGGAAGATTGCATATATTTTGAGTGTCAGAATACCTGCTACACAGCACCCCTCCCCCCCCCCTCCCCAGAAGAATAGTACACAAAATAGAGAAACAGGCAGGAGTGACATGGAAGGTACTCTAGTGGGTAAATGAGCTCAGTTGCAACAGAAGGCTAAGCAAGTCACGGAAGTCAACAGAAGACAAGTCTTAGTAAACAGGAGAGACCTCAGAGTGGTGGGTCGTTCTGTTAATCTGGCTTAACAAAACAGGGATTAATGAAGCAGAAGATTTTCTTTAAATAATTAACGATTGCTTCCTTAAGCAACATATTAAAGAACCAACACGTGAAAATAGTATTTTAGACTTAGTGTTAACAAACAGGGAAACATAAATTAATGACATTGAAATAGGGAGTGACCTAGGGAACAGTGATCACAAATAAATCAGATTTAGCATAGAATGTAAGGGAAAATTCGATAAAAGTGGCCGATTTTCGAAAAGCTGATTTAAATGGCCTAAGAAATATTTTGGGTGAAATAAAATATTCTAAGCAACGTACAGGAACGTGGTAGACCATACAAATTGAACAGATCGAATAATAATGATCAGAAATGGATAACAAAGGATCAGAGGAACCTTATAGGTAGAAAGCGAGCTTGATACAAAGGGATTAAGAATGGGGAAGTCAGTTTAGAACAAGAATTCGTCCAACCAATTAGAAATGTTAAAAAGGAGATAAGGAGGGCAAAAAGAAACTATGAATTTTCTCCTAAGCAAGTGATCTCTCATTTTTCTTGAAAATTGATACATTAGCAACCTTCCACGACTCTGGCACTCTTCCTGACTAATGATTTATTAAATATGGTAGACAATGGCTCGCAAAGCTCCTCTTTGCATTCGTTAAGCACCCCGGCAAACACTTCATCTGGCCCTGGGGATTGGTTTGGTTTGAGTTTCACCATTTGTTTAATAACATCATCCCTGGTAACTGCTAAACTAGTCAACCTGTCCTCTTCCCCACCCATATAGACTTCTTCGGCTGAAGACAATGTTAAGTTCCTCTTTAATAAATACAGAGATAAAATATTTATTAAAAATACTAGTCACCTCTTCGTCATTATCAGTTATCTGACCTGTCTCAGTTTTTAATGAGCCTATACATTCCCTTATCCTTGTTCGATATAACTGAAAAAAACTTTAGGATTTATCTTTGATTGCCCTTCTATGTGAACGTCATAATTTCTTTTTGCCCTCCTTATCTCTTTTTTAACAGTTGAAAGAATTCTTGCTCTTAACTGATTTCCCTTGATTTCCCTAATCATTTTGCACCAAGCTCTCTTTCTACCTGTAAAGGTCTTTAGATCCTTTGTAATCCATTTCGGGTCATTATTATACGATCTATTCAATTTGCATGGTATACTACGTTTCCGTGCTTTGCTTAGAACACAAAAAGCTTTATCCAAATACTTCACCTGGGAATCTTCCACAACCAAAAGACCTGGGTAAATACTTGTTCGGTAACAGGGTTGTTGATTTGTGGAATCAGTTACCGAATAACATAATAGAAGTAGAATCCCTTGATTGTTTCAAGCGTAGATTAAGCATATATATGAATGAGATTGGGTGATAATAAATAGGAGCGGCTTCTTATGGGCCAATAAACCTTCTTCAGTTACCTTCATTCTTATGTTCATGATACTAAATCATGATTAAGCTCACTGAACAATGACATTGTAGGTCCTCATGCAGATAAGCTCATTAATTCTCTATTCTTTTTATCTATCCCAAATAGAATACACGTATCATGTTGTTGAGGAAGTCAGTGATATCGTTAATCTAGTGTGTGTGTGTGTATATATATATATATATATATATATATATATATATATATATATATATATATATATATATATATATATATATATATACACATACAAGAAAGTAGAGAACTTCTCATGGCGGCAAATGCTTTTGTAATTGACGTATAACTTGATCGGCAGCAAAGAACAAAAAAAAATGATGAATGAAACTCTGAAAGTAAATTGTCAATGATAAAAGAAACACTGACCTGATTAATGGTTCTTGGTTGATAAAGTGGTACTCCTGATCGTCCTCCACTCCAACATCAATGAAATCCACAGGAGTACTGGCGAGTATGTTGAACTTCAGAGGGTGGAGGGAGCGGAGTATCTTGCCCCCGTGGAATGAATCCGCAAACATATTGCTCCCACCGGGACCAGGAAACTGACTAATGCAGTGAAGCAGTTGGACCTTTTATGGAAAATAAGAAAGTTTAACTTACAAGTAACTCTTGGTCAAAATTTACTTTTCTTCTTTTAAGGGTTTTCTGTTGTTGGGAACGGAATCCTGTAATGCTTATCGACGCCCACGGGATGGGTATTGGGTGCATAATAAAAAAAGAAATTGAATTATCGATGTCCAACTTAGCAAACACCTGATTTTCTACATAATGAAACCCACAACAGCCGCCTCACTCTTGGATATGTATTCACTGAGAAGTAAAACAGGTATTGGGTAAAAAAAATACGCGCCAAAATACAATATGAAATACTCATAAAACTATTCCCAAGAAATAAAACTTTACATGTACCTTGAACATAATATTTTTTGTTAAAAAATTAAATGGCATGCGAGTACATATCTGAAGGGTTTATACAGCAGTCTACCTACATACAAGTCCACTACAGGCTCACCGTAGCTCGTGCTACTTGGAACTATTGTTCAGAGTAGTTGAAAGTAAAACACGCAACAAACAGTCTACCTAATGAGGACATGACTTTCAACAAGTTGAGTATTCAAAATATATAAAATTAAAATTAGATTCTATTTCTTGTTAAAGTGCTGACTGTAGGCTATTTATAAACAGGGAGGAGGGTCGCGGTAGTCAATTCGTCTTCAGATCAAGTCCATTCCATCCAATGGTCGACCCCAAAAACGCATTCATTAATTTTAACCTGCTGTTCATCTAAAGTATGAATTTTCACAAACATAAATTAATATGGTTATATATGAGCATACTGTGCATATATAGGCATTGGTTAGGTCAGGTGTTTAGGTTTTGTTTGCAATTATTTATTTTTGAAGTATGTAGATGAAGCATTTACAGCTTTGTAGTTTGAACAAAAGTCGTCAGTGAAGCACTTGTTAGAAAAGTGTTAGAACGTCATCAGTTGTAAGTCATGTGTTATATCCCGATCTCATTAATAAGTCCAAAGTCCATGCCATGCTCCCGCCAAACCTCATGTTTATGAATGAAAAAGTTTACACACGACTCATAACTAATGACGTTTGAACATATTTATTTATTTATTTATATACAAGAAGGTACATGTTTTGTGAGAGATGGTAAAATTATAGCTAAGAAGACTGACACTGGAAAAACTTATCTCATAACCACTGAGGAACACCTCACTTCTTCCCTGGATGACTGTAGGATAACAGCTGAATAATCATAAATTAAATTATAGTCTCATCTAACAACCAGAGTGTACTCTAGCTCTGCCTTTCCTTTCAAAAGTTTTTTCTTTTTTTTTACAATTGTCATATTTTTTATTGTCTTTTTTTCTTGTTGTTTTTACTCTATTTTATGTTTACTCCACACTGCCTTGTTCCATTGTACACTGGCTTTGCCTGTGTCCTCTAGAATAAACTCTATCATTCAGGGTACTTGAGTGTATCTCTAAGTAATCTACCTCATTTTTGTTTTAGTGTAACTTTAGTAATTAATTATAGTGTAATTATATTATTAAAGTAAGCTATTGTTTTATAGAATTATCAACTGTTATTTGCTATTACTGTCTCATTTAAATGATATTCATTTTATATTATATATATATATATATATATATATATATATATATATATATATATATATATATATATATATATATATATATATATATATATATATATATATATATATATAAGGCACAACTCTCCTAAACACGAGAGTGAAGTATACAACTTTAGAAACACTTTCCCACCAGGAGACTCGAACCCTAGCCAGCACAGAAGCTTTCCAGCAACTGGCATAACAGGTACGCCTTAATGACCCCTCACTTGCTCTAGTGCTCTTGGGAGATGGTGGTCTTTGGAGTGTATAAATACTCGGAAATTACCATCTCTTTAAGGGTCTGAGCAGGTGGTGGAGTGGGTTAAGGCGTACCTGTTATGCCAGTTGCTGGAAGGCTTCTGTGCTGGCTAGGGTTCGAGTCTCCTGGTGGGAAAGTGTTCTAAAGTTGTATATATATATATATATATATATATATATATATATATATATATATATATATATATATATATATATATATATATATATATATATAACTGAAAACTCACACCCCAGAAGTGACTCGAATCCATACTGCCAGGAGCAACGCAACTGGTATCTACAGGACGCCTTAATCCGCTTGACCATCACGTGTTATTTTGTAGTTTTTTTTTTGCCTGGTACTGTGTAATACTTGTAATAGTGATGATCTGTATGGGGGCTATTACAAATTTGTGATAGTAGATTTTGTTCAGGATCAATATTAGCTTGCATGTGGATGCAATGGAGTCAAGGTACTATAAGGTAAGCAATTACAGAGCAGTAAAATTAAATCTGCTAAATATATAAAACAATTATGGTAAAAAAGGAAATATAAAATGAATAAAAATGCAAATTAACATATGATAGAAGTAAATAAAGTATAATGAAGGCCACGGAATTGAGGCAGTAATAGCAAATAACAATACAGTAAGTTACAAATAAAAAATGAATAATATAGAATGGTGGGAAAAACACGAGAGAAACAATAGCAAAAAAAACAAAACAAAAATGTAAAATTTAAAAAAAAATTTGAAAGGAAAGGCAGAGCTATAGTACACTTTGTTAGATGAAACTATAATTAATATTATGGTTATTCAGTACAGTAAGACAATATATTACAGCACATTTAAATACTACATATGCTGTAAATATAAAGTAACTATTGCAAAAACACAATAATAACTACAAATACACATATAATAGAAACAATTAGAAGTACAATAAAGATCGCTGTAGATAGACAAGAATTGGACAGAAGTTAGGTAAAAAAAGAGGAAACAATAGAATCAATAAAAATTTACAAGAATAATGTACAATAATAATAATAATAAGTTGAATATTATTCATAAAGTAAAATGTACATGTACATAAAATGTACATAAATGTACATAAATGTACATAAATGTACATAAAATGTCATAAACATATCAACATGTCTAAATTAAGTAAATCATCTTGAACATATCTAAATCAAGTGCTTCGCTGAGGTCTTTTGTTCAAACCACAACACTGTAAATACCTCACCCATGTACTACAAATAATTGCCAACAGAACCTGAACACCTAACCAAACTAATGCCTAAATATGCACATATGCAAATGTATAATAATTATAATTTATATTTGATATAATTCCTGCTTTGAATGAACAGAATGTTAAAATTTTTGAATGCATCTTTGGGTCGACTGGATGGAATGGACTTGGTCTGAGGATGGGTTGTCTTAACCGTTTTTCATTCACATTCAGGGGGGGGGGGTTTGGCGGGTGCATGGAATGGACTTTGGCTTTTGTTTATGTGAACAGGCTGACTAATGCAGCCTTGTTCTCATAAACAATGGGCCAAACCGCTTGTTAATGAATGAAAACGGTTAACAAACGACTGACCACTGATGACGTTCGAACACTTCTCGAGCAAGTGCTCGCTGACGAATTTTGTTCGAACCACAACACTGTAAATGCTTCACTACACATATAAATAATCGCAAACAGAACCTGAACATCTAATCTAACCAATGCCTAAATATGCACAATATACTAATATATAAGAATATTAATTTATATATGAGAAAATTCCTGTTTTGAATGAACAGCATGTTAAAATTTAGGAATGCGTCTTTGGGGTCGACTGCTAGATGGAATGGACTGGGTCTGAGGGTGAGGTGCTAATGCCTCTATTTACCTAGCAGTAAACAGATACCTGAAACCGATTCCACACACAGTACCGCTCCTGTGCCAGGTTAGTACACTACGGGCTCACAATAGCCCGTGCTACTTACCCCGCTCCTGTGCCAGGTAAGTCCACTACAGGGCTAAGTCCAGTAAGTTCTACAGGGTAAGTCCAGTACAGGGGGGCGCCTGACAGCCGGGTGGACAGCGCTTCGGATTCGTAGTCCTGAGGTTCTGGGTTCGATCTCCGGTGGAGGCGGAGACAAATGGGCAAAATGTTTCTTTCACCCTGATGCCCCTGTTACCTAGCAGTAAATAGGTACCTGGGAGATAGACAGCTGCTACGGGCTGTTTCCTGGGGGTGGAGGCCTGGTCGAGGACCGGGCCGCGGGGACACTAAGCCCCGAAATCATCTCAAGATAATCTCAAGAAGATACAGGCTCACAATAGCCCGTGCTACTTACCCTGCTCCTGTACCAGGTAAGTTACGGGCTCACCATAGCCCGTGCTACTTGGAACTTGTTCTGAGTAGCTGAATCTATAACAACAACAACAACAACAGATACCTGACATGCATGCTCTCTGTCTATTACCCCCTTATTCTCCCTGCACTATTTCACCATCGAGAAAACACTGGCCCAGTGATCTCGGATCCTGCTACTTATGAGACATTTATGATCTAAATCTCTTTCCCTTTCCTTTCTCACACACTGTGCTCTTGAAATGTGATCTTATTGTAGCTTGCCACCTTACATGAGACCGCTCCTCTCTCTGACCCTTCATACCACTAATTGCAGGCCATTCATTCTCAGGGTAAAATGACTAATGACTGGGCAGCCACCCTGGTTAAACATCTGGATATTTACCAAGATATTTGTTATTGTACAAAAGCATATTATGGTTCCAATAATAGCCTACTGGTAAGTAAACCTTTGTCCTAAACAAAGAATATTCTAAAGTTATGACGTTATTTCATTTTGAAAATATAAAATGTTTATGCCTAATATGTTTTCTATTATATGGTCTGAAGAGTTTGGCATTCTGTTAATGAAATTCTAGGGGACACCTAAATAGTTTTAGAATTGCATATTACACACATTTGAGTATTATACAGCATATTAACATACCCAAACCTAACAAAACCTAACCTAACCTAACCTAAACCTTAACCTAACTTAACTTAAACTTAACATAAACATACCTAACCTTAACCTTCAGTCTGGTGCAGACAGTTACAGTGAGAGTGTGTTAGCTGGAGTTCCGATTGTGTCTT